AAGGAAAGGCAGTTCTAAAACATTGTTTTTTGTATTTTTAGAGAGAAAGAGCTCTCTGAAGGCCAAAGTGCCTGGGGCCACGGGTCCCCCAAGATCCTGCAGACCCCTGTTCTGGGCCAGGGAGCAGGACAGCTAGAGGGGAGGCCTTGCTCGATGGGCAAGTGAACATGTCATTTTTCAAGCCGGCATTCCAGTCCCACCTTTCTGAGCTCAAGCAGCAAGTACACCCCACAGTCTGAGAGTCAGGGGTCCACAGTGAGGGCCCCACCCCCAAGATCCTCTCACCTTTCCAGCCCACATAGAGCTGGAGATGTAGGGAAGCCTGTTGCTGCCGCCCAGGAGGTTGGCGGAACACGCAGGTTACCCTGTGACCCCTTGCGAAAGGTGTTCACAGACCCACGTGGGCTGAGCACAGGGACGTGTGCATCGCCAAGGCGTGTGCATCGCCAAGGCGTGTGCCTTATGGCAGAGCCGAACTCCTCCTGCTTCTGGGAGGCACAGTAACAAGAGGTTAAGCGGCCAGGCCTGGAGGCCTGAGCTGAGGGAGGCCTGGAGGCCCTCAGGCTCCTCGAGGCACCAAGGTGCCCACTGCGAGCTCCTCTCAGACAGTCCAGGGAGCCGAGCAGAGCAGGGACTGGTGCCTCCCTGGGCAGGTGGACAGAGCTGTGGGCAGGGACACAGCCACAGCCCTACCTAGTGGAGAGGCCTGGTGTCCCAGCCGGTGAGAACTGGGATCCATGAAGTCTAAGCACCATGCGGTGCCCCCTCCAAAGCTCCTGAACGTGAGGAATTTGTGATTTCCATGCATTGGGGCATGTGGACAGGCTTTTCACAGATGTTCCTGATGGAAGTGCCCAGATGAGAAATGAAGCCTGTGTTCTTTCCTGAAAGTCAGCATGAGGCTCGGGAGGGGCAGGGGCACTGGCTGGATGGAGCAGCTTTGACTGTGGGAACAAGGAACAGACTCCTCAGAGGCCTGGACGCCTTTTCAAGGAGCAGGTGGTGCTAAAGTGATAACACCACCAGACAAAGTGACCAGGACACAGGAGCAATAAGCAAAGCCCGTGGGCTGGGCCCAGCCCTGTTAGCTGCCTTGGCACCTAATTGGAAAGTGTCTGCATCAGTCCAGCACATGCCTTCTGCCATCATATCCAGGCACAGGCGTGGACATTGACCAGGATGGCTACCTCTGCCCTATCTTCCTGCCCTGCGTACAGGCCTCTCCACAGGACCCTCCCAGCAAAAGTGTTTCCAGTTTTTGAGTGTGAATGGGGCTGGCTGGAGCTGCCACGGTTGTGTGGACACCTGAGGAGGAAGTCCATATCATCTGGCTGAGAGACTGCCAAAGTGTCCTGGTGGGTGGGTCCCCGGCACAGTCACCCCAGGTTAGTCCCACTTCCGCCCATCTGTGGCTCTATTACACCTTTTGGGGGCTTAGTGAGTGAGTTGAGTTTCTTGCAATCAAGAAATTCCCAGCACTCTGGGAGTTCTCGGAATGACTGGCTATGCCCTGCCTCCTGGCTGCAGCCATGTGGGCAGAAAGTCAAAAATTAAGACAAAGAATTCAGAGGTATGCCACCTAAAGCAGGAACAACAAAAGATAAAACAAATAAATTGGACTTCAAAATTGAAAACTTCTGTGCTTCAAAGGACACCGTCAATAAAGTGAAAAGACAGCCCATGGTAGGGGAGGCAATCTTTGCAAACCATATATATGATGAGGAACCGTACCCCTAATATATAAAGAACTTTACACCTTAACAAAGGTTTGAACAGACATTCCTCCGAGGAAGATATGCAAATGGCCAGTAAACACATGAAAAGATGCCAGACAGCCATTAGCCATTTGGGAAATGCAAATCAAACCAGTGAGACTCCAGGTCCCACCCACCAGAATGGCCACAATAAAAGTCAGATTGTGACCAGTGCCCGAGAGGATGTGGATAATTAGAACCCTGCCACACAGCTGGTGGGACTGAGAAGTAAGGCCACTGCCACGGAGAACACTTGGGCCCACAGAGAGCTGGTTCCTCACAGTTAAACAGGGAACTAACATGTGATCCGCAAGTCCCCTCCGAAGTTGTGCCTGAAAGAAATGGAACTGTGTCCACACAAGGTTTGTGCGGCTCTGCTCACAGGAGCCAAAAAGTAGAAGGAACCCAAATGTCCATCAGCAGGTGGATGGACAAACACAGCATGTTCTGTCCACAGACTGGATTTTATGCAGCCATGAAAAGGAACAGCATTCTGACACGTGCCACCTCACGGATGAACCTTGGAAATACTACACTCAGTGAAAGCCAGACACAAAAGACCACACATCACATGATTCCATTCACATGAAATGTCCAGAACAGGGAAATCCATGGAGATAGGGAGAAGGCTGTGGCTCCCTGGGGCTGGGGTTGACAGGGATATTGGGGTTGAGACCACCAAAGGGTTCTAAAATTGACTGGTGATTCTTGCACAAATCTACAAAGATACTAAAACCCACTGAATTGTATAATTTAGGTGGGTGACTTGGAGGGTATGTGAACTACATATTTATAAAGATGTTAAAAAATACATTTAAAATCCTTTCCAGGTAATCCAGGTCAACGTGGAACACGTGAGAACTTTCTGCTGCCTAGCTCTGTGTGACAAGGTAGATGTGACCACAGAAACTGGCCAGCCTGGAATGGGGGTGAGGGGGCACGAGGGAGCAGGAGTTGGTTCCAGGGGCCTCAGCACCATCCCAGCTCTCTCCAGCGCTCGAGTCATGTGCATTTAACAAAGACCAGAGCTTCAGGAATGAGACTCAGTGGTCCCTGCCAACACACCTGGATGGGCATCCCAGCCAACCTCTCCCATAGCAGTGTGGGGTGGCAGACTTCCCAGCATCTGCAAACATCACTGCAGGGTTCCATACAGGACCGTATCTGCACACGGATTGCACACCCATCCTCGAGTTGGGACAGACAGGGTGATGGATAGAGACACAAGGCATTTGGAAGGGCTTCAATCACTAAGCTGTGACTTTGCATAACCCACAATAGTATCACTGTTATTGTCGCCAACACGTTAATAAGACACATGAAACCACTGAAGACGACAAACCATTATATTCTAAATTGAGGGCTAAAGGCCTATTAAGTTTATGGGAGACAGAGAGAGGGCTGGAAGAATATGGGAGGATAGCCCAGAGAGGGGGATCTGGACCCAGGCCCTGGAGCTGGGTACCTTGTGGAAGGTGTCCATCTCCAGGGTGAGAGCCTGGGCCAAGCGCAGGCCTAACAGAGGCCCCTGCCTCTTGGTGCTGAGATGTTGGCTTGCATAAAGTGGCCCACTCTGTGGCTGGGCCTCCAGCTGGGGTCCTTCAGGAGGGCTGGTGGGAATGGCTCACAGGCAAGGGTGCCCACTGCATGGTTCACATGCCCCATATTCACACTCCTGTGTGCAGCTTGGCTCTAGGCTGAAGGTTACTGCAGGGGTCTGCTGGAGTCAGGAGCAGGACTCTGGTTCTATCTCCGGTTCTGTCATCGACCAGCTGTTTACTGGGGAAATCATGTGGTGCTTGGGGCCACTGTATGTGGGTGATGACAGCATCTGACCCTTGATGGCCTGAGAATTGGACAAGACGATACATGTGAATTGTCCACCAGGCTTGGCTGGACATTGACTCATCAATGTCTGTTATCTCGGTGGCAAAAGGTAGGAAGGTCCTGGCAACAGTGAGGACTGGCCACTTCAGTAAGCTGGAGAGGTCCAGCTCCATGAAGGAGGAGGAAGTGGGCCAGTTCTGGGCAGGTGAGTAACCTCACCAGGGCAGTCTCCCTCAAGGGTTTGGAGCTGGCACCAGGCCATGGTGGGGGTCATCCATGAAAACAGGAGGTGTGGGCGTGACCACAGGGTTATAGCACCTGCTGAACTGAAACCACTGTGGGAGATACAAGTGCTTGGTGGGTAAGGGAGGTTCAGGGGAGGCAAGGGGAGAAGTAGAGCGAGAGTAGCAACCTGGGGTCCAGGGAGGAGGTGAGAAAGGATGGTTACTGTAAAGGAAAATACAGAGGAGGGCAAGGGTAGGGGTCCCCATAGGGTGAGGGATGCAGGAAAAGGAACAGAGGGGATGCTGAAGGAGGGGTCACCAGGGCAGCTGGGTGGGCTAGGGAAGAATGCAGAGGGGAGCAAAGGGGTGCTGGCAGCCCTGTCCCTCGTGTAGAGGGGGTTGAGCACAGGTGGCCAGGCCCAGAGCTCTGAGCGGTGGCTGACACTGTCCCCTATTGCTCAGAAAAGGCCCCGTTAGGCCTAACTATGTCCCAGCCAAGGACATAGCTGGGGGAAGGGTGTCAGAGTGCACCCAGCCCGCAGCCCAGTGCTGGTCCTTTCCTGTTGTGGATTACTGTGGGGCAGAAAGAGGCTGGTGCTAGACCTCTGGAAAGAAGTCAGCTGGTCCATACCAGCCAGGCTGAGGCTGGGAGTTGGTCCTGTGGAGAGACCCCCCTTTCCTGGGGCCCCTCTCCAAGGTCCCTCCCCCCTGGGCCTCCTGTCCTCTGAATTTCCTTCTCCCAAGCTCACTCTCTAACTCACCACACCATAAGCCACAAGGATACAGGTTGTGTTTCCAAAGTCCTGGGACAATGCCCCAGGGCCCTCTTCTGCGGAGGGGCTTTCGGCTCCTCTAGAATTGAGGACCCCAAGACCTAGCATGGCCTGATCGGGAGCTTTCCCCAAGAAGGTCAACACAGAACTAAAGGATCCATTGCAGCCCCTGACCACTCTCATAGGCAACTTGTCCGGGGTCTTCGTCGCGGAGCACCTTCCCCCACGTCCAGGAATGGGCACACACTGAGCAGGGCCAGGCCCAGACCAGGCCGCGTGGGGGTCGGGATCCGGGGGGCGGTGCGCTGCGGGCGGCGGCCGCGGGGGGCGCTGCGGGGGCCGCCGTTAAAGCCCGAGCGCGGGCGCGCGCGCTCAGAGAGAGTCAGGCTGCTTCTGTCGCTGCAGTCCCCGCGGCCGCCCGTCCGCCTGCCCCAGAGTCCCGACTGCACCGGACTCCGGAACCCCACTCCCCCGACTAGACGCGGAGGCCAGGCTACCGGTCCATGCGGCCCCCCCGCACGCCCAGCCTCGGCACCGGACCCCAGACCCGCACCTGAGCGCGCGCCCAGAGCGCGGGCGGCAGCCAGGGGCTGGGGCAGGATGGGGAAATTTCAATCCAAGCACGGTGAGATGCGGGCCCGGGGCGGGCGGGAGGGCTGGCGGGCGGGCGCCGGCTACTCACTGACCCTTCCCTCTCCCGCGCCCTCCCTCTGGCGCGCCGCAGCCGCCGCAGCCTTCAAGCGGAGAGAGAGCCCTGAAGGTGAGCGGGCCGGGTGGGGCAGCGACCCGGCCGGGACCCCGAGCCCAGAGCCCGACGTGCGTTCTGCCCTCGTGCCCTCGGGTGGGGGGATCTTGCCACGGGGTCTCCGGGAGCGAGTAGGCCCCCACCCCAGCCCGCCCCTGGCTCCCCATCTGGAGTCCTGCGCCCCTGGCTGCACGGAGATGGGGTGGGTGGGCGCGCCGGGCGGCTGGGCATCTTTAAGGCGCAGCGCCCGCGGGGCTCACCGCGCATCTCCTTCCCTCCTTGGTGCCCGGTTCCCGCGCTTCCTCTCGCCGGGCCGCAGGGGACAGCTTCGTGGTGTCTGCGTACGCGAGTGGCCGCAAAGGCACTGTGGAGGCGGAGCGGCGCGGCGGCGTGGAGCACCGCGCACGGGAGAAGCAGGTAGGCGTGGCGGGGTGGGTAGTGGTGGGGGCGGGGGTGTTCGGCCCCGCGGGGCTCGGGAACGCCAGTGCCAGAATGGCGCCCCCTCGTCGGAACCCAGTCCTAGAAGGTGCAGGCTGAGATGGCCGGCGGGAGTGTTGTCAGCTGGGCCGAAGGAACCTGTCCCTCCCAGCCTCCACAGGCCAGGCCGGGTGGGGCTCCTGATACCCCTGGCTGGAGGCTTAGGGGAAGGGGGCATGATTTGCTTTAGGATCAATCGCTTGCACAGCAAAGATAGCTAGAATTAGAGGCCTCCCATCTGCAGGGTGGGTGACCACTGGCATACAGCGAGGCTCATGGGAAAGCCAGGCTCCAGATGGACCTGGGGATGGTGGTGGTACCCAGAATGCAGGTGCTGCCAGGGCACCCAGAAGCAGAGAACTGCCAGATGTGTGTGTGTGTGTGTGTGTGTGTGTGTGTGTGACACCAGAGGGGCCTTGGGAAAACTAGACCTGCACATGTTTGCCAAGCAGGAGAAAGTGGACATTGGATGGGCATTAGTGTGAACTGGATCTGTGTAGATGGCCACACCAGATGACTGAGACCCCTACTTGCCCACTACTTGCCCCCCCCCCTTTCCACCCTTCAGGGGAAGTCATCTATGTTTCTGGAAGACATTCTTCTGGCCAGTTGATAAATGAAAAGTTCTGAGTGTATTTGTAAACACCGCACCTCACCCTGACAAGGGCCCAGATTTGCCCTGAAATCAAACCCATACTGGAGTTAGAGCTCCCGCTTTCTGGGAGTGAAGGTTTAGTCCCATGTCTGTGGAGCTAGGAAATACTTTTTAAGGTACTTTCTGAGTCTTCATAGTAATGTTGGATGGTAATGTTACATGGACTTGTGCTTCCTGGTACCAAGGGATGAGGGCAGGTATCCAGGGAGCAGCCTAGTTCCATCTTTCTCCCTCCAAGAGAGGTCGGGGTGCTAACAACGGGATGGTACCTCTTAGTGTGGTTCTGCTGGGTGTGGTATGTAAATGGGAGCAAGCAGCAGGCTGTGTGGGCTTTAGCTTCATGGTCAAGGGTTTAGGCCGGGCCTGGTTCCGCTGGTTCCAAAGTGCCTGGGGACCTGGGCACGCTGGGCCTGGGAGTGTCCACTCAGTCCCCAGGACTCTCCGGGTGCTTGCTCTCCTTTGTTCAGAAGGTGGTGGCAATAGAGAGTGGTTCCAGCAGCTCCAGGCAGTGCTTCTCCTGGGCCGCGGGCTCCCTGGGAATGTGCTCCTGCAAATGAAAACAGTCTGGTGTCGCTGCGAGATTGTCGGAGCTCGGGCTGGAGCACTCTTTCAGGCTGATGGACTCCACACTCCTGGGGTAGTTTTTGAAAGAATGATGTGGGAGTTGTCCTAGGCTATTCTCTTTTCATTTTGCCCTGTGCTATGGTCTGAATATCTGTGTCCCCCCAAAATTCATATGTTGAAATCTAACCCCCAAAGTGATGGTGTTAGGAGGTAAAGCAACAGGGAGGTGAACAGGTCATGAGGGTGGAGCCCTGATGGTGGGATTACTGCCCTTGTGAAAGACTCCAGACAGCTCCCCATGCGCTGTGTGAGGACACAGCAGGAAAGTGCTGCCCAGGAATCAGAATAGGGCTCTTAGCAGACACTGAATTTGCCAGCACCTTGATTTTGGATGTCTGGCCTCCAGAACTGTGAGAAATAAATTTTTTGCTGTTTATAAGCCACCCAATCTGTGGTCTTTGTTGTAGCAGCCCGAATGAACTAGGACACCCTCATTTCATGAAAGAAAGGACCTTTTAACACTAAGATGTAAAAAAAGAGAAAAATCTCAGAACACAGGGTGGTCCTTTAAATTAAATGCATTTCTGCTTTAAGACAATAGCACTGCTTTTTCCTCATTTGGCCATGGGGCTGTGAGCCCCTGGCCAAGCACCAGCCCAAGTCTAGACCTCCTGGACCAGGCATCCCTCCCCCTGCCACAGATGCACAGGTACCCTCACCACTGCCGCTCCCTGCTCCCTTGATTACCAGGCATACCCTGGGGTGGCTCTAGCCCAGGCTCAGTGCGAACCATGCTCACCACCTCTGCTCTTGGTTCTGCCACTGGAAGCTGCTCAGTTAGGGGATGTTTAGGTGGCAAGTCCTAGAAATCCCCTGTTCCCAGCCCAGCGTCCCGTGCCCTTCTCTTTGTGTGGTGCCCAGAGCTCCATCCATCATCTCTGGTCTCCCGGGTGATGCCTTGAGGAAGGCCAGCCTGGATTAGGCAGCATTCCTCCTTCCCCTGAAGCTCACCCTGTATGTTGCCCAAGAACTGTGGCAAATGACCACATGGAAATAAAGTGCATCTAACTGTCACCAAAATAAAGGAAATGAGATTGGTTTTGCCCATTAATTGTTAATGAGTTATGTTGGCTTTTGGTATCTACTTACTGCATATCTAAAAAATTACTATTATAAGTATTAGCATTTTCCAGGCAAGTGTACTCCTGGCTTCACAGTCTAGAATAGTGTTCCTTGTTGATTCTGAAAAATGCTGCAGTCTGGTCATGGCAGGACCCGCATCGATCCATTGCCGATGCCCCTGAAGGGCCAGAGCTGTGCCAGGGTGATGTGGGATGTTGGCAAGTGAAGCAGAGAGGATCTAAGAAGTGGAGTAACTGAGGTCATACATGTGTTAAAATGATGAGAAGTGACAGGCGGTAGCACCAGCAGCACTTGGCAGTGCTGTTTCTAAAGGTGGATTCAGTCACAGGGTCACCGTGAGGCTCTGTGGTGACATGGTTGTCCCTATCCAGGAAACATACCCTTCCCTGCACAGTCACTCATCATCTGTCTGCCTCCCTGTAATTTCTCCAGCGCTCCCTGAGGCTGGTGGGGAAAGTTCAAAAGATAAGAATCACCACTAACAATTGAAATTTTGTTGTGGATAAAACACAGATTTCCATCTGTAAGCCTGAAAAAGGGATGTTTTGGCAACTTCGGAGGTGGCATTTGAGCTGAGACTTGAGACAGAAATGCATGAGTCGAGGAAGCCACTGGGGCCTGGCTGAGGCCTCCTGCCTGGTGGGACTCTTGGCTGTCCTTGAAGGATGTAGCTTCTCGGCCTCTAAGGCTTCGTGACAGGCAGCGGGGCAGGGCTCTGCCCGTGCTGTCTTGGTTAGCTCTCAGCTTTCAAGGTCTACACCGCAGACCCACACACGTGCATACGCCAGTTCTGGTGCGCTGACGGTTCGCACACGTTCCTGATGGAGGCAGCCTTGCAGGGAGTCTAGGTGGCGAGCCCTGGAACCCCACTGAGAGACTCGCCTCGGGCTTCCAGCAGAGTCCATCTGCCCTCCATGTGGTCTTGTCCACAGGTGGCCTCTCGCTGCTTTTGGAATCTGGGGGCTCAGCCCTATGGCATGGTTTGATGCCTCTCATCTGGTTAGAATTCCCCGGAGCCAGTCACCAGGACCTCAGACCCCTCCTGCCTCTGCAGCAGGCCTTCATCCCGCTGTGGTGGGGCAGGGCTGCTCCTTCCCACTCACCTGGCAGCCCAGGAGCCAGCACTCACCTGCCCACCTCCTCACCTACGCCCAGAGTGCATAGTGGCAGCAGGATTTACACATTTCAGTTAAGAGTCGTTGAGACGTGAATTCTGTGGCTTCTTGTTGAAATCCCTGGGAAATTCCCTTGGCTTTGCACGGAGTCTGGACACCACCCCATCTGCAGTCAACACAGAGAACAATCAGTGTGTGTCCTGAGACGAGGAGGAGTGGGTGCCACGGCTGCTCCTTGTCAAAGGAGAGGCATCCCCTTGTGACCGTCAGTGAGACAGGAGGCACGTCCTCCTGCCACCGTGCAACTCCTTCAGTCTTCTGTGACCTGTGCTCTGGGACACTAACTCAGGGAGTTCCAGCCTTTGTGGGGTGTCCAGGCATCAAGGCTGGGAGCTCTTCACTGTCTTGGCGTCCACTGTGGGAACCTTGGATCCTAGCAGCCATGTCTCTGCCCTCATGGCCCTGCTGTGTGGTGAGGCCGGCACAAATGTGCACAGAGGCCTGAAGGCTCACACGGATGTGGGGTCACTGACAAGAGTCCTGGGGGCCCAGGACTTGCCAAGCACCAGGGGCCTCTCCCCAAAGTCAGCTGCATCAATCTGTCACCCCAACCTGGGCTTCTGAAATTGCAAATGGCCCTCCTGGACCCTACTCCACCTAAGGATGAGCCAAATGGTCCCAACTAATTCACATCTGAAGAGCCACCAGGCCACATTGTGGGAAACCCCTCCTGGAAAGGGGTAATGGGACCAACCTAAGGGCCCTGTGAGGAGCTTGCCACTTTGTTTCTGGAGGGGTAGCTGAAGTTTGCCTCCTTTCCTAGCCTGGAAATGTGGACGGGTGCTGTCTGCAGACAGAACTCTCGGAGGGGAGGGGGACATCCTGTACTCACCTGGCTGTCCCCTGTGTCGGTGGGGATTGCAGGAGGTGCTGGGGTCAATGTGGGCCTGCAGCCACCAGCATTAGACACTCGGGAGAGGCTGAGGGCTGTATGGATGGGCTGGATGCCGTGCACCTGCCCCTGCCCCAACCAGGTGCCCATGGAGGGGCTGCTGTGGGGAGTGGCTCAGCCACCAAGGGGCAGTGTATGTCCTGCCTCTCATTAGCTCAGGTACGGGCATCCTCACGTTGTGTGTCAAGGACTCTGATGTCCACCGGGTGAGGCTGAGCTGGGACTCTGGCCTTGGGGCTGGGCCAGAAGATCTGTATTGGTCACAGTGGGGCCACAGGCTGGCTGCAGAGTACCTCCTCCATGCCAGTGGTCAGCAGAGGCACCTTCCCTAAGATGCTGACCTCGAGAGAGACTCCCAGGAAGCATTTGGAGACACAGCTTGTGCTGCTGGTCCGCCCAGGGGCACGGCACATGTGAAGATATGTTCTCATGGGGCAGCGGCTTAAGAGAATGTTGACCCTCCGTGTCCACAGGTACACTGGGGCCCCACACACAGACAAAGCCAGGGCTG